CATCTGTGGAAGTTATACAATGACTAGAAATGATTAAAAAATATAATTCTACTGAGTTCAATGTTGTAACATAGAGTATAAAAAAGGAAGGCAAATATTGTAAGTCTGAGCATGAAATTGACAGAAAAAAATGCCCTGCTTTTGGAAAAAAAAATTGCCATAACTGCAGATACAAAAAAATCGTTTTCAGTCTGTATGCAAAGTTACAAAGAAAATAGTATAGAAGAAGTGGGAAAAGAGTGAATTGATGATGTTCTTTTTTTCAATACAAAGACCTAAGGAAAATAATTCTTTTGAAAAATATTAAATTAAATGGCATGACTTTTCAAATGCTAGTGGATATGGAGAGTGAAGACATTCCCTGTATCCCCTCCCAAGAAATTTCTGGGAACAAATGGATAAACCGAAATTGAGAAAAAGTCGTCTGAATTTGAGACAATTTGATGGATCTTTTATAAAAATTTTGGGACACTTCAATGGAACATTTGAAACCTGTGAGTGATTTGAAATTATTCCCATTACAGATAAAGAAATATTACATTGGGTTGAAACTGAAATAATATCTCTACAAAGATTGGCATTGGAAATTCAACATAATCGAATATTAAACAAGATTGCTGAGAGAATAAGAAGAAACTGATGTAACAATTGTTCCAAATCTGAAAGATCTTATAAAGAATTAAGGCATAAATTAACAATGGAAAACAGTGTTGTTATATGCAATGGAGATATGATAGAGCTACCTGAAACTGTAATAAAAGATATTTTATACAGTGTACATGATGATGTGCATTGTCAGATAACAACTACACAGAGGAAATTAAAATTGGATGTATGGTGGTCAGGGTATGTTTATAAATTCTCAAAATGTGCAGAAATAAAGAATTTTCAATAAAGGAGAATACACTCATGACCTAAAGAAATAGAACTTTGGTCTCATGTTCATATGGACCATGCATACATTAATGCCATAGGACTATTTCTAATTTTAGTAGATTCCTTTTTTGGATGGCCTGAAGTTCTTAAAGATATAGTAATGACTACAATAAAGCAAATATTAAGAGTGATATTTTCTAGAAATGAGGTCCCTAAAACATCCAAACAATGCATCGGAATCTTGTGATGAAGATTTATGCAATTGGTTGAGGCAGATTGGCTGCTTCCCTTACAAAACACTACCATATCACCCAGAATCTAATGGGATTGCAGAAAGAATGGTGCAAACAGTAAAAATGAGATTGAAGTATTTTCCCCAAGAGATATTATAGATGGTTACTTACCAAGGTTACTGCTTAGTTATAGGATGATTCCACATCAAAACAGATTGCAAAGTTCATCTGGTTTCATGGGAGGACAAATAAGATCTCAATTAGTAATGTCATATTTGACAAATGAAAAGATGTATACAAAAAGACAAAGTAGCAAGTCCTGAGAGAACTAATTTCATCATACAAATGGGACATAACACGACAATTATATCAAAGAAAGGAAAAATCCTAATGGTTCATTCTGACCAATTAAAACCTAGAATTAGAGGAGGAAGACATGATGGAAGAAGATCTTGACAGAGAAGAAAGGATGAGTTCTTCAAATCAAGATAATACAATAGAAGACAAGTCTATGGATGATAGCAGGAGTGACTCAGACATGGAAGATGATGAAATGAGACCAAGATCTCCATTAAAAAGAATAGGACATAAACCTCAAGGTGAAGAGGAAGAAACACCAAAAGTATTAAACCTATTCAGTTCAGAGAGGTGTAATGGGATTGGCAAATAGAATTTTACCGATTTGCACATGTTGGTTAGAGGAGAAATAAAGTAAAGATTCAGACAGGAGGAACTTGACTACTGATCATGTGTTTGGGAACAACACTATACAACAGATACATTGTATTTATTTTCAATTTTTCTAGTTAAATTGTAAACCTATATTCATTATTGTATATATCGTAAATAAATCCCCAAAATCACCCTTAAAAATTGCAGGGGGTCATCTTTGTATATATGTTAACGGAGTTATCTGTCCTTGGAGTGTATAAATGCAAGTGAGAAGGAGGCAGCCATTTGCTTTTCCAGTATTGCTCAGAAATATGTCCAGCTGACATCTTCTGCACTTTACATGGCACTGCGAACAGGATACTTTGAAAGCAATGAAAGTTCGAAGTCACTGATCGTGGAATTTACCAAATGCCAAGGCTTACCCATTACCAGTCACTATGGAACAAGAGTATTTGAAACTAATGGGAAAACTTTGTGGAGCTACAACAGGAAAACATTGAGCTCAGGAAGGAGATGATTTGCGGTCGCCCCAACAGTTCACATGTTAAAAAACCTGAACGACCCTCAATAGGGCTAGACACCACTGAAGGAGAATGGGCATTGTTTTTGGATACATGGACCCGATACAAGGAGATATGCAAGTTGGAAGACCCAACCATAATCTGGAATGAACTACGGGTGATCTATACACCAGAAACAAACAGGCTACTATTTGACCTACAAGGCTCAACTCTGCTACAGAAGAGAGTCTTCTATAACAGATACGACTGGTTGTGGTGAAGGGACTACACAAAGAAACGGCCACCGCAGGAGACCAAGACCCAGTCAACTCTGTGATACATCAAACCCTGCAGCAGATGTGGAAAGCCTTCACACCCAGTGGGGTCAATGAACTGGAAGGATTGTCTGGCGGTTAAACTGAAATGCCGGTTCTGTGGAATGATGGGGTACATGAAAAAGGTGTGCCGGAAGCTTGCGAAATCTTAAGCAGAAGCCACAAGCAGAACACTAAAAAGTAAGGAGTCATTTATGTTTACCAACAGTAATCCAAAGGGTCAATTTGGCCGCAAGATCAACAGGCACGACAGCATATGGTCAACGAATGTGCCTCAAGTGGAATGGGAAACAGTTTCAAAGGAGCTCTCCAGAGCTACCCCCCTCAGTGGAAGTAGAAGTAACCATGATGCCTGGGGTTCATGCGACCTTCAGACATGTACCAAAGAAACCAGTTAGCCCACGCGCTCATCCCATCCTTGCCTTTGCAGATACAGGGGCCTAGACTTGTTCAGCTGGATCCAAGATTCAGAAACTCCTTGGGTATCCAGATGGATATCTGGTATCAACCACCCACCGGATACAAGGCATAACCAATAACTGGTTACACATCAAGGGTGTCTTATTTCTATGCCTAAAGGTGGGAATGAAGGAGATGCAGCAGGCTGTATATGTATCCAGTAACACATCTGGCTTTTACTTGTCACAGACTGCGTTGAAGGATCTAGACCTACTGCCATCCGATTTCCCGACATCGTTGTCACAGAACAGTGCATCAACAATTTCAAAGGAAATGGCTCCATGTGGATGCCCACGTAGAACGCCTGTTCCAGCGAAGCTAGAAACCATTTCATTCAAACCAATCCAAGCCAACAGACACAAGCTTCAACAATGGTTACTGGGGTACTTTAAGTCTAGTGCGTTTAACACATGCCCACATCAACCGCTGCAAACAATGGAGGCTAAACCATTAGACATCAAGTTCAGCCCGGGCGCAAAGCCAACGACAATTCACATGCCAATACCTGCCCCCCACCAATTGTATTTAACCTGGACAAGTTTCATTTTGCCGAAATGGAGGTGGAGTTCACGGGATTTCTGGTCACCGACAACGGTGTTAAGCCCACAAAAAGGATGACAAAAGCTATTCTCCACATCCCTACACCTACAAGTATCACCGGCATCAGGTCCTGGTTTGGACTCGTGAATCAGGTGTCATATGCATTTTCACAAGTGGAAGTTATGGCCCCCTTCCGGGAACTATTAAAGACAAAGAACAGAAAGTTCTGTTGGGATGAGACACTGGAACACTTATTCCAAGAGTCAAAGAGAGTGATAGTGAAGAAAATTGAATAAGTAAATGGCCATTAGTACACCAGGCTGTTTGTAACTGTTTAGATATAGAAAAAGAAGAGGTAGAAGTATCATTATTTGCAAGAGATCATGTGATGAAATGTAAACAAAGCAATGGTTTCCCTTTTAGGGGATGTGTAGGAAAAACATGATATAGAATCGGTTTTGTTATTTCATTTATTTTGAATTTCTAAGGATACAGTAAGTAACAACTTTTCCAATAGCATCAACTTTATATAATTAATAAGCAGTTGTCTTATATTATGGGTATATATTCTTTGACTTCATCTTATCTAATACGTCAATATACGATAATTAAGTTACAATATAATTTGTATTTTATATGAATACTATCTTATGAAAATTGAGATGTAGTAGAGTGGGGGGGTATCATAGATTGTGGGGTGCATAAGACCCTTTGCACCTACTCTGCATATTACAATAAATGTTTTATTTAATGGGTACACATGTACACCCTAAATATGATGTTTCTAGTAACATGAGTAGACATCCCTGGGGTGGGGGGTTGACCATAAAAGGTTTGATTCCTGTAGAGAAGCACATTTTCTTTAAGTCTTTCAAACTTCTAAGCTGGCAGATATTGATTTCACTGTTTAAAAATCTGGAATGTCTCCTCAAATACATGTACTGACTAAATGTAATGTTTATCAGAATAAGAAATATTGTCAGATAAAAAAATGAATCCATTTATTGCTTAAAGGATGAAGTATACAAAAAAAGGATTGGACCAATAAGAGTTGAAAGTTTTCAAGCCCACAGCTGGTTTCTTTGTTTCCTTTCCAGGCATGTATAGAAAAACCACATGAAAATAACTAAACCATTGTATCAAATAGATATTGTGCGTTGAAAAAGGAAAAGAAAAAACTGGTTTACATCCCTTAGATTTATTCTGATCACATTTGCAATAATTCCTGAAATTGAAATTCATGGGGGGGGGGAGAGATAATTTGCTTGAATTTTAGGCATTTGTTCTTGTATTTTGTCAAATTCTTATATTAAAGTATTTTTCATATGCAGTGAATTAAGTTTTGATTGAAAATGTCTAATTCCAATTGTAACTTTTCTTTTCAGTCATACAAAGCAACCAAACATTTTGACATTTCTGATTGGTGTCGCAATTTTGAAATTCTTTTCACTGGGGAAGAAGGTAAGAAAAAACGAATCTGTATTTTCTTGAAGTCTCTTCAAATGATGAAAGGCAATTAAGATATTGATTTTCAAACTCTTAGCAATCTCTTCCATCGAATGGCAAGCAGTGTCTTCATCGGCATCAGAAGGTTGCCCAAGGCATGGTTGATCACTTAGGTTAAAATCACCCTGACAAAATCTACCAAACCGCCTTATGACTGTCCAAAAAGCTGAATGTTTTTTGTCACAGTCCCAATGTTTAATCCTTTCTAAATTCACAGAGCATAAAATGGCGAAAGTGCAACTTTTCATCCTCCACCTTTATGGCATTCATTTGTGGACAAAATGGCAACATTCAACAAAGTCTGACTTGCAAGTGAATGATGCAAGCTTTCTGTATTCATCATAGCCCTATTTGAATGCGTGAGAGAACTGATAAACTGTATGAATCATGTTGAAGGATATTTTATTCCATCAGATACATATGCAGCTGTGAAAACTGCAAATAAAACAAAGGGGTTTGCATAGGCACAGTGGAGGAAAATGTACATTGAGGTGCAAAGGCAAACATTTATAAAGAAACAACAAACTTTACAAAGATACAGTGACAACAGATTAAACAGAAACAAAGTACTTCTGATGAAGTTTTACAAGACACATATGTGATTAATATTTTCAAATCAGCAGGAAAATAATTATCCCTATAAGTTACAAAGACATTTAACTTTAATTATTTTTGTTTTACAAAAGTAATAAATTGTACATTAAAAATGATTTTAAGGTATTCAAAACTTATTTAATTTAAATGCATAAATTATGTGTATTGTTTATGACAATTGTTTAAACTCAAGTGCACAATTTGAGAAACAGGAATAGGATTTACCTCATTGGCACCATCTTGGCTAGGCGATTTGACTTATAGCATCAGTATTGATGGATAGTGACTCAGATTGAGAAATTGGGGAGCTGAGTTTGAATTCCAATCAAATCCATTACATTCGTTTACATGCTAATACCCTTGGAAAAGCTATAAATCCTCTTCTTCTCCCCCTAGCTATGGGTAAGTAGCAGGACAGATCAGGTTCTATAGCCTTGAATGGCAACTGGTCTACTGCAGAAAGAAATGGCAACCTACTATGGGAAAAGAATCTGCCTCGTCAGTCATCTATCAAAAGATACATGATCACCTAAGCATGTACCATGTATGGTACATAAATGACTGATTGAATGCACTAAACATGATGAAAAACAGGTCTGAACATTCCAAGGTCTCTGTCCAAAAAAGCCCAAAGAAAATTTCCTGCATGACTCTTGCGTAGGAACCAAATTCCTGGGCACTAGAATCAGAGAACCTGCTAACTTTTTAGTTATTTTTATCACTAGCCCTTTAGTGTACTTCAAGTACCTTTTTTAGATCATCTATTGCTTCTATCCTGATGATATATTTCTCTTATTTTCTTTCTAGAAATTATAAAACTATATGGGAACTATTTTGCTTGGACAAAATGCCCTGAGAATAACCAGGTCACTGGTATGGGGTAACAAAAAAAAACAAGCCTACTGATTTTACTAACAAGTGTATGGTGGTAGCCACAGTTTCAATCTAGAACAAACCAGAAATTGGCACCAAAACAAACACCAGTGTCAAGTTACAGTCATTTTATATTAACAATGAAAATTGTGCACATACTTTTGCAATGATTTAAAGCTCTGTTACATTGTGCACTTTTATTTGTTTTACTATGTGTGTACTTTTGTGCAAATATTAAATTAAAATATAAATACACATATACATTTGAGTGAAAGAGAGAATGTGTTTGTTTGCAAAAATCTTTTTCATATAAATTGGCAGGCTGATTATCGCTATGGATATCCTAAAGAATTATTTAATTCAGATTTTTTTTTAATTATTCAGGCAACAGGTTGGTCAGGTGTTAGCATAAATAATTAACTCTGTAATAATCTTTTCTTTTTTTTTAATATTCTCTTAAATATCCAATAAACACTACTTAACTGATTTGACAGCATTAACCACTGATTTTTGGATTAATACAAAAAATAAAAATATTTAATCTTTTATACATTTTTTTAATGAATTTTATATATTTTAAAACTGTTATTTATGTCCTTGCTAAGTATTGCCTAATAGTATTTCCATATGTGTGTGTGTGTGTGTTTTCATTTTGCTCTTATGAATGCAATAAAATATTACTAAATACATAAGAAAACTAACAAAAATAATGCTCAGCTATTTTTATTTCAAGTCTAAAAACAGCCCTGTGAAAAGTAAATTTTTGAAAATTTGTTATAAACTTAAAATGCCAATTTATTAAAAATTCTAACAGTAAGTATTTTATTTATTTTTAGGAGATTTAAAATTCTTATTGATTTTTTTTCTTTAGAAATGTATGAAGATTATTAGCAAGACCCATAAAAACTGACGGGAATATTTACATATGGACTGGCATTTTTGATTAATGTCAGAGTACAGTGTCTGTGCCCTCTAAAAATAATGTGTAGCTATAGTAGGCCAATGAAAGAAATTTGAAAGTTAAAAAAAAACAGTAAAATGATAATAAGACTAATAATATTTAATAATAATAATACTTATGTTCGATGCATCATACATTCTTTTAGTACCTTTATTTAAATGCCAACAAGAATGTGAAAGGTCCAAGTTAAAACGCAACTTTAAAATAAATTTACACATTCTAGATTTAAATAGAAATTTAAGCACAGTCAATGAATAGTTTCCAAAAAGAGCCTTCTACAAACACACTACAGCCCTAATCATGGCAAACAACTAGCCCCAAATTATTAAATTTCATCAATAAAAAAAAGTCTCATTCATTTTATCTTTGAGAAAGGACACAGGCATGATTTTTAGCTTTTGTCTCATCATGCTTCCATTTGGTCAAAAGGCCTGTTGTATAACACCCCCCTCTCTCCATAACATAGTATCTTTTCTCACTTGTCTTCTCCCAGCTGGGTGTTGAAATGTTTTTGGAGTCTGGAGATGAAAGAGACATCAACAAAAGGAATTTGAAAATTTATCTATCTTATTAAACACATCAACATGTACATTTTTGGGGTTACTCTATCACCCCACCACTGAGGTGCAAGTTCCCTAAGACACAAAATAACCATATCTACTGTATATGATGTGTAAAAACTTAACTCCCTGAAAACGCTTTCTAATTCTAACATTCCCACGTTCGTCTCAACCAATCAAAATCGATATCCCTATTTTGTCTACCATCTGACCTTAATGGTCAGTCTCAGAAGGTCTGAGCCAAACTATGCTGCCACTAAAAATAATAGACTGAAACTATTATTTAACAGCTGACTAATATAAAATATTATTAGTTTTATCAATATTATCATTTTTGTTGTTTTTTATCCATCGAATTTCTTTCATCAGCCTACTATATCTATAAGAAGCATATGGGGGCAATCCTTCTTTATCATCAAATTATATCTATCTATCTATCTATATATATATATATATATATATATATATATATGATGTGCTCTAGACTGACTGAGGTACAAAGAACTCAGCTGATCAGGCAAGGCTAAATAGTGTTTTTTAGGCAAAATTCTTCATGTCATAGACTCAAAATTTTCATAACTGCTCAATTTCACATCCAAATGTAAACAGAGCAGTGGATTTTTTATTTATTACTCCAACAGGTTTTTATCACTTAGTAGTTATTTTTAGTGGATACTCAAATATTCAGCTCGGTAGATGAAAATAAATAAATATACTGTTTAATAAATAAATGGAGCACATACTCAAATACATGTATCCACTAAAAATAATATTTAAAGCAATAAAAATCTGTTGGATTAATAAATAAAAAGAATCCATTACTTGTTTAGAAAACTCTTTTATTTATCTTTAGATGTGAAAATGAGCAGATATGAAAATTTTGAGAGTCTATAACAAAGAATTTTGCTTAAAAGACACTATTTCAACATTTACCTGATTATATAATGTAACTTATCCATGCATTATTTTTCAGAAATACTGCACTTATAAACAAATAGTTTACCTTTATCAGCAAAAAAGCAGAAATTCTGTAAATAATTTTACAGTTGCATTTCCATGTTCTTGTTTATGTGTAATGCTTCCTGATTACTAAACAAGATTTTGTTCAACATTGAATAATTATAGAACATTTATTTAAAGCAAATTGCATTAGATAAATTGTCTGTCAGTTTGAGACTGTGGCCTCTGTGGTATTGGTAAGTTGAATGTTGAGCAACTGAACTCCTTTCAAAATAAAAGAGAGACACAGGACCTGCAAGCAATTGAAAGAGAGAAATTGAATTAAATTGAAAAGGAAAGAAATAGAAAATGAAAAATCAATTGAAAGAAAAAAACTGAAAGATAAAGAGGGAAGATGTTGTCAGGTTACTTAGTGGAAAAAATCAGAATTTGAATTTGTAAAACATTTTTTATTTATTTATTTAAGAAAAGACACTAAATTAAATGTTAATATATTTATCTATAAAAGTTTTTTTTAATTTTATTATTTTTGCAATTGTTATATTTTAATTTTTTAAATTAATAGAAAACAAAATTTCTCTTTAAATAAAATAAAATTTCTAGAAGTACAGAAATTTCACTAATTATTTATTAAAAGTAAAAATATTCAAAGAAATCTAACATAAAACAAATAAAAAAACAATATATAAATTAACAGCCTGGTTTTGGTGTTACCATAATAATGGAATATCTTATTGCTATGGATATGAGGTTGTATGACTGATAGATATATAAAGTCATGTCATGTTTTATATTATAAAATATACATTTTGACATTTATATAAACTTTAAAAGTAAAGATATTTTGAAAACACCTATGTATGTCAAGCAAAATAATGTACATTTCATCTAACTTTACATATTATATAAACAAAATATAAGAATATCTATTATTTATATTATATACATGTGGACTATTTTCCTTATCTTTGTCGCTGTTATCACAATTTTTCAGCCTTTACACTCTT